ACAGACTCTAGGTCCATCCACCTCACTACAAATAACTCAATTTCGTTTCTTTTTATGGCTGAGTAATATTTCATTGTATGTATGTGCCACATCTTCTTTATCCATTCATCTGTTGATGGACACTTAGGTTGCTTCCATGTCCTGGCTATTGTAAATAGAGCTTCAGTGAACATTTTGGTACATGACTCTTTTTGAATTATGATTTTCTCAGGGTATATGTCCAGTAGTGGGATTGCTGGGTCGTATGGTAGTTCTATTTTTAGTTTTTTAAGGAACCTCCTTACTGTTCTCCATAGTGGCTGTATCAATTTACATTCCCACCAGCAGTGCAAGAGGGTTCCCTTTTCTCCACACCCTCTCCAGCATTTATTGTTTGTAGACTTTTTGATGATGGCCATTCTGACCGGTGTGAGCTGATATCTCATTGTAGTTTTGATTAATGATGTTGAGCATTCTTTCATGTGTTTGTTGGCAATCTATATATATGATATTTGGTATTTTTAAAAGTCAGTTATTTTGTAGAATGGCCCTCAGTTTGGGTTTGTCAGATTGTTTCCTCATGATTAGTTTCAGGTTGTGCATTTTTTGGCAGGAACACTACAGAGGTAATATTGGTTCTCAGCAGCACATGATGTCATTTTATCCGAGTGTTAGTGATATTAGTTTCATTGCCTACACCAGATGTGTGCCACTCTGTGGAGACTTCCTTTCCCTTTATAGTTAATCCATAACCCATGGGGAGATGCTTGAAGGCTGTGCCCTTACAGAGTTCCCCAGTGTTTCTAGCAGTCATTGATGATTCTTCCCAGCACCAGTTATTACTGTGGTGGATGTCAGACGTTGATTTTCTGCGTGTCCAAAGAAAATCTCCTCCTGCCTTATATTATATTAATTTATGTTAGTATAGATGCATTCAAAGTGTTACTCCATTATTGTTGCTAATCATTTTGATGTTCAACTTGCCATTCAGACTAGCTCCTGTATCCTTTCATATGCCTCTATCAGCTTTTCTTGGGGGGCGGGCAGGGGGCAGGGGGATGTGCAGTCTGATTCCTTGAGGTATAATTTACATAAAGTAAAATTCATCCTATTTAAGTATGTAATTTGATGTGTTTTGATGGTATGGTTGTATAACTATCACCACGATTAAGATAAAGAACATCTTTCACCCCATAAAGTTTCCCCTGTGTCCCCTTGCAGTCAGTCCCTTCCCTCCATCCTCAGCCTTGGGCAACCATTGATCTGATGTCTGTCCCTACAGTTTTGCTTATTTTCAAAATATTACGTATATGGAATTAGAGAATTTATTGCCTTTTTTTGTTTTTTTCCCCTTTTGGGCTTTCCCTTTATCTATTTATTTAACGGGATGAGTAATAACATTTTAAGAAGCCTGGAGGGAGCACATAAAAATATAAAGCCATCTTAGAAAACACAACCCAGACATGACCTTTCCATAATTGTAAATCATGATAACAAAGGCCAAAGTTCCTTGTACTATTCCTTCCCCTCAGGCCTCTCACCTTTTAACAAATGGCCAGCCAGATACAGTGTGTTCAGTGCTGTCCATTTGGAAGTTTGTGATCTTTCCAGATTGCAAGATTACAAATCTACTGGCAAGAGTATATTGCCTTTTGTGTGGCTTTTTAACTTAACATAATGCAGATTTTGAGTCCATATGTTATATGTATCAGTAGTTCATTTCTTTTTATTTCTGAATAATGTTCCATTGTATGGATGTACCACAACTTATACATGCATTTACCAGTTGAAGAACGTTTTTTTGTTTTTAATTAAAAAAGTTTTAAAAAAAATTTTTGGCGGGCGTCCCTGGTGGCCCAGTGGTTAAGAGTCCGCCTGCCGATGCAGGGGACGCGGGTTCGTGCCCCGGTCTGGGAAGATCCCACATGCCGCGGAGCAGCTGGGCCCATGAGCCGTGGTTAATGAGCCTGCGCGTCCGGAGCCTGTGCTCCGCAACTGGAGAGGCCACAACAGTGAGAGGCCCGCGTACCGCAAAAAAAAAAAAAAAAAAAAAAAAAAAAAAGAAAAAAAATTTTTGGCTGCATTGGGTCTTCATTGCTGCGCGGGCTTTCTCTACTTGCAGTGGGCTACTCTTCATTGCAGTGTGAGGGCTTCTCATTGCAGTGGCTTCGCTTGTTGCAGAGCATGGGCTCCAGGCGTGTGGACTTCAGTAGTTGCATCGTGTAGGCTCAGTAGTTGTGGCGCACGGGCTTAGTTGCTCTGCGGCATGTGGGATCTTCCCAGACCAGGGCTCAAACCCATGTCCCCTGCATTGGCAGGCGGATTCTTAACCACTACGCCACCAGGGAAGTCCAGGTTTAAGTTATCTTTGCAGTTCTTTTTATCTTTACACTGAATGTGTATATTCAGAGCATTGTTTTCCTAACTTGCTTGGATTATTTTTTTCCCTATGCTAACAGTCTCTTATACAGTAATGTATGTATCTTAAGTGCACAGCCCATTAAATTTTAACATATGGAAAAACCCGTGATTCACTACCCAGATCAAGATACAGAACATTATCATAACCTGCATAAGTCCCTGTGTTCCTTTCCAGCCAGAAGAAGCTGCTTTCTGTAATCACTATAGATTTTGTTTTCTGTGTTCTTAGACTTCATATAAATAAAAAGATGTAATGTGACTTACTTCACTCTGTATGACAGACTCTAGGTCCATCCACCTAACTACATATAGTTCAATTTCATTTCTTTTTATGGCTGAGTAATATTCTATTGTTTATATGTGCCACATCTTCATTACCCATTCATCTGTTGATGGACACTTAGGTTGCTTCCATGTCCTGGCTATTGTAAATAGTGCTGCAGTGAACATCGTGGTACATGTCTCTTTTTGAATTATGGTTTTCTCAGGGTATATGCCCAGTAGTGGGATTGCTGGGTCATATGGAAGTCAGAAAGAGAAAACAAATACAGTATGTTAACACATATGTATGGAATCTTAAAAAAAAACAAAACAGAACTGGTTCTTATGAACCTAGGGGCAGGGCAGGAATAAAGATGCAGACGTAGAGAATGGACGTGAGGACCCTGGGAGGGGGAAGGGTAAGCTGGGACGAAGTGAGAGAGTAGCATTGACATATATACACTACCAAAGCAGAAACTAACTCAACATTGTAAAGCAATTATACTCCAATAAAGATGTTAAATAAAAAAAGATATAATATGGATTGTTGGGTTGAGTTTCTTATCCTTAACAGAATGCTTTTAAGTCTTATCCATGTGTATCAGTAGTTTAATGCTGAGTGGTATTCCAGTGTATGAATATAAAACTCTATCCATTGTCCTATTGATAGATATTGGATAGTTGGGAACCATTATAAATAAGGTTGATACGTCTTCTTGGGTGCATGTGCACTCAGGATTGCTAAGTCAAAGGGTAGGTGTTGATGAAACTTCTCAAAACTGTTTCCCAAAGTGATTGTACCAGTTTACACTCCCGCCACTTGTTCCACATCCTTTTGCCAAAAGTACCTGGTGAAGGATTTTTTTAATTGAATATTTGTCTTTTTATTATTGACTTGTAGGAATTCTTTAAATGTTCTGGATATAATTCCTTTGTTTGGTACATATATTGCAGATATTCTCTCCCATTCTATGAGTTCCTTTTTTAATGTTTGCACGTTGCCTTTTGATGAGCAGCTTAAATTTTGAGGACTTGTGATTTGTGTTCTTTGTGTTCAGGAATTCTTTGCCAGCCTCACGTTCATGAAGTTTTCTCCTGTGTTTTCTTCTGAAAGCTTTATAGCTTTAGCTTTCTTGTTTGGGTCTGTGTTGTAGCTTCAGTTGATTTTTGTTTTTGGTTGAGTTTAGGATCTGGGTTCAGTTTTTTCCCCATGTGGATATCTAGTTGCTCCAATGTCATTATAAAAAAAAGACTTTGGATTTGCTTTGGTGTGTTTGCCAAAAATCAAAAGACCGTCTATGTGCAGGTCTGTTTCTACATTCTTTTCTGTTTTATTGACCTTTTGGTTTATCCTTAAACAATACTGTGATGTTGTAGATGCTGTAACTTTACAGAAAGTCTTGAAATCTGGCAGTGTAAGTCTGCTAACTCAACTGTCCTTTTCAAGGGTATCTTGGCTCATGTAGGTTGGATTTGATTTTCATTTTCCTTCTGTGTGATTATGTAATCACTTTAATTACAGTTAGGTTTCTGTTCATATTCCATTTTAGTATTTTCCCCCATCTCTGTTGACTTATTCTTATATATTTAATATGTGTTATAGTAAATGGTTCCAAGAGTCAAAGCTACACAAAAAGATATATTCAGAAGTGTCGTCTCGTCCCCTTTCTACCCCAATCCCTGCCACCTGCTGTAGGAAACTGATTTCATTGGTTTCTGCTTTATCCTTCCTGAGTTTCTTTTTGCAAAAATAAGCATATAAACACACACACTTGTGTGTCTATTTATATGTGTGTGTATATGTATACATAGATTTAACACCCCCCCCACCCTTTGTACACTCTTTTGCAGTTGGCTTTTTTCAGTTACTGTGTACTGGAGATCACTTTATGTGCTTGGAGATTTTCTTATTCCTTTTTACAGCTGTAGAGCAGCCAGTATTTACTAAGCTCAGTCTTGGCTGCAGCTCAGAGCAAATATTAAACTTGAACTCTGTGTGCTGCATTTATTCCTGGGCTTTGCTGGGCCAGTTTCCTTTCTGCCGTTTGCAGGGGAGCTCACTAAACTCAGGACAGTCTGTGACCCTGGGTGGGCGGGAGTAGAAAATGTTTCCCTATTCCATGTCTGTTTTGGACTCATCAGACCTGAGAACATTAACAAGTTTGGGGGAAAAAAAAAGAGAAATGGGAAGAGAAAGCATCCAGGATTATCAGTGTTTACACGCCCTTCATTTAATGGGTCTTGTCCTCAGTTCCCCTCTTCCTGTGTTTCGTGTGAAATAGTGTGCTAACCAGTGTGCCGTGCAGCTGGTAATGAGTGTCTGTCACGCTTTCACTCAGTCTTTCCCTCTAAAACAGGTTGCCCGGGAGAGTGGCCCACCCCACATGAAGAGCTTTGTGACCAGGGTGTCGGTTGGGGAGCTTGTGGGGGAAGGTGAAGGGAAGAGCAAGAAGATTTCAAAGAAAAATGCTGCTGTAGCTGTTCTGGAGGAGCTGAAGAAGTTGCCGCCCCTGCCTACAGTTGAGCGAGTGAAGCCCAGGATCAAAAAGAAAACAAAATGCATAGTCAGGGTAAGGACCTTTCTGAATGAAGAGGGTGTTTTCATTGCCCAGAGCCAGCTGGGGGGTTAGAAGGCTGGTGAAGGAGGTCGGGGGCTGGCAGGCACAGGCCCGGCCTTGGAGAGCCTTTACGGGGGCCACCTTGGGTTGCTCCCACAGGAGTCCCAGGTTAGGCAACGACAGGGACACTGTGCTGGCTTCAGTGGAGGCCTCCGCAGGCGGCCGCGCCCATCTGGGTGCAGTCACAGTGAGGAGCTGTGTGTTGGCAGCCGCGCTGCCCGTCTGCGGGGAGAACAGTTAAATTCTGCTGCCTCCGTCTCATTGCCCACTGCGCGGTTCTGAACGCGCGGGAGACTCCTGGGCGGGGAGATGTCTGGGGCAGGCGTAGGCGTCAGACGTATACACCTTCTTATTTTTGAGTCACGCTAAAGGACCTATCAAAAATTATACTCTCTCTCAGCCACCCAAAGAAGGGACGGGTCCATTCGGGGACATTTATGAACACCAGGACCTGTTCTGATTGTCAGTGTAGTTTCATGTTGTATCAAAATCCAAGTTTTTCTCACACACAAGTTAGCATATGGTTTCTGGATTTTGAGTCATTGTTAAGAAAGCTGGGAACCCATCCTTATAATGTAGACTTTTGGGAAGTTTTAGAGAGTTTGTTATATTTTTTCTACCTCTTCATTTACTATCATATGTTGACATTTATTGTTCAAAAGCAGACGTTACAATGATGCTTGCCTACTCGTAGTGAATGGTGATGTTGGTTTGCTAAGAAGACCTTAAAATCACCTCAGAGCGATCATAGAAAATCATTAGGCATCTTTCAATTAAAAAAAGGCTTAAAAAAGATCTGATTAATTCTGAGCTGTTAGAACAACATAGAAGTAATCAACTGTCATGTCCTGGTCTCTGAATTGGCAAGGTCCTTTCTATGACTAACATGGCACGTGGTTTCTACATTCATTGTTCCTCAGCTACAGAGCAGCCCGGAGTACGGCCAGGGGATGAACCCGATTAGCAGACTGGCCCAGATCCAGCAGGCAAAAAAGGAGAAGGAGCCAGAGTACCTCCTCCTCACTGAGCGAGGCCTCCCGCGCCGCAGGGAGTTTGTGATGCAGGTGGGTCAGCCGGCTTGTGGGCGGTCCTTCTCTGACCGCCTCCTGTCTCAGGGCCTGAGGTAGTCCAGGGGCCGGACACCTCTCCCCAGGAGGCCAGGTCCAGTGGGCACTCCCTGCCGCCAAATGTCACTGTTATTAGACCGTGTTGCCTGCCCTAATCTGATGCCTTAAAACGTGCTTGTCTGCACAGCACACATGCTGCTGTATCAACAGGTAGGAGCCTGGACTCACTGTGCCTGTTTAGAGGAGTGGGGGAATTGTGGGTAACTTTTTTCTTTGTTACTTCTTGAAGGTTACTATTGTTCTTCTCAGAAGCTTTATGAATTTAGAAAGGGTCTGCTTCTGCTTCTGCTGATCCTTCTGTAGAGCCTGGAGTCTGGGGATTGGGTTCACGCCTCAGATTTGTACAGAGCGTTTCTCCATGCACTCAGCTTATTAAACAGTTATTCACAATGGGCAGCTGAATGTTTGATTTGAATTTAATAGTGTTTTCTGGTGAAAAACAGAACCCTTCACTCTGCATAGCAGTTTACAGCTTATAAAGCACCATCAGTTAGCCTGGTGTGTTTCACCTCTGCAGTCAGAGGGCAGGAAGAGTAATGACCCTTCCATGTACAAGAGAAAATTGCAGTTTGTTGAGAGGCTCAGTAATTTGCCTAGGATCAAACGGCTGGTAGATGCCCGGTTGGGATTCAACCTCAGGCCCCTCTTCACAGGCCAGGGAGGGTTTCCTTGACTCCTTCGTGACGGGCCTTCTGGTTTTGGTCTGCGGTCAAGACCAGCTTGGAAGGGGATGGTAAGCAGTGATGTGTGCTGGAGTATGTGTAACAGCCAACTCTTAGGGAAAGGCAGTGTGTGTGGAGACTATACACGTATATGCACACGTATTTATTATATGTACATATGTGTATATTATAAATTTTACTGATAGGAAGGAAGTGTAGCATACAATTTACAAAAAATATGTAATACTCTTGTAAATTTCATACATCTGTAACTTCAGTGTGACAGTCACCAATAGCAGCGTTACAGAATGAGACTCGTGTGAATTCTTTATTCCCCTCAGGTTCAGCAAGGAGGTTTGCCTCTGTCATTGTTGAATGACTGTGGTACGAGCATGAGGACTGGTTGATATTTTTATTTACATCAACAACAAAGACATGTCAGAACTTCACTCATTTAAACAATATGAATGGCTTCTTTGCTGAATCAGATAATACTTTCCCAAGACTGGAAGTTTCAGTTTTTTGTATTAGTTATGTCATGGCTGCAGACTTGACAACAATTTAAAGCTTAATCTGCATTATTAACCTTTTCTCCATCACTTAAGCTTAAGAATAGACAATCAACAGTATAACTTAATCCTTGATAAGTAGTAGTTGCAGATTTCTGTGGTGTAAGTACTCTCACTGTGGCCATTTTCTGAGTTGGAAAGAGATGTGTAGCTGCATATTGACACCATACACATACAAGTGTAAAGAATCACAAAAGCATAGACAATTGTCAAATGGAGTCCAGTTAGGAAGTGATGAATTTGAAGTATTCATTACCTCTGTTTGTTAAAATAATTTGTTTAATTATAAGCTTATATACTTTAGTGTTTAATAATAGCTGCCTTTAACAGCCACCTCTCCAAATTCCTCAGGATTTCATAATGGGCTCTCACAGGCTGGTCCAAGCCAGCTCCAGGGCACCACTGTTAAGCCATCCATCTTCTGACCATTCTCGGTTCTTTTCAGTTGCTGACCAGTCTTTATTCTAAAGGGTTAAGCCCTGATCTGAGTTCTGCCTTCTTTATGCAGGTGAAGGTGGGAAACCACACTGCAGAAGGATCAGGCACCAATAAGAAGGTGGCCAAACGCAATGCAGCCGAGAACATGCTGGAAATCCTTGGTTTCAAAGTCCCACAGGCTCAGCCCACCAAACCAGCCCTCAAATCAGAAGAGAAGGTGACTGCTCAGGGCTCTGTGTCCTTGTTCTCTAATTGCAAGATGACCTTCTCACCTCAGGACTCTGACTCCTCCAGGGCTAAGCTTCAGGGCAAGGCTTCATCCTCCTGGCAGTAAAGCAGCCCGGCTGAGCAGGGTCCTAGCATTTGATTCATTATAGTGTGGTCAGAAGGGGAGTTGCATGTCCATAGCTCCAAGCATGGTGCTGGGTTAAGTCGCTACTGTTTCAGTATCTTTGTGGTCTGGGATGCTTGGTGGAGGGCAGCTTGCTCCTCTCCTTTTGTGGGATGACGGGTAATTAATTGGACTTGAAATTAATGCGTGTGTGATTCTATCATTTGTGCTCTTAGAGTGAGTCCTGCATAAAAGACTCATCAGCCTTAGGCTTTTGTTAGTTGTGGAACACGCTTGGGACACTGAGACAGTGTGATAATAGAGTCAGGGCCAAATCCATAGTTTCGATTTGGGGTTTCTTTCTCTTTATGAATTGAACATTAGACAAAAATCCCATATTGAAAATTGCACTTCTGCCGAGGTTGGTAAGCAGTACCCTCAGTGAAAGCCTTGGCCAACCTTGTTTCCAGTCACTGGATGATTCCTTTCAGGATAAACTTGAAAACACCAGGACTGATTCAGTGTCTGTCAGTCCTGTCAGCAGAGGGAAATGGCAGCAGCTGTGGCCACATAGTTAATAACTGGGATCCCAAACACTCATCAGAGAATCTGTGGAGATCCTGGACTTGGCTTTGGGGGTTTTCATTCCAAAATCTTACAGAGCATCATAGGCAGCTTTGTCTTCTCAGAAGAGAGACCTTTGTGTTTGGCAAAATTTTTTTTTTTTTTTTTTTTGCGGTACGCGGGCCTCTCACTGTTGTGGCCTCTCCCGTTGCAGAGCACAGGCTCCGGACGCACAGGCTCAGTGGCCATGGCTCACGGGCCCAGCCGCTCCGTGGCATGTGGGATCTTCCCGGACCAGGGTACTAACCCATGTCCCCTGCATCGGCAGGCGGACTCTCAACCACTGCACCACCAGGGAAGCCCCCAAAAGTTTCTTTCTTGGTCAGCTCTATCAATCTAACATCTTCAGGGTCCTTCTGGTTAAACGTTCCCCTCTCGTGAGCACAGAACAGAGGCCCCATCCCTTAGATGCTGTTCGTGGACAGGCTGACGTGCCTGAGAGTGTGCTTTGGGAGAAAGCAGGGGGCTCTGCTGTGGGCACATTGGCGGCACAAGCAGACCAGTGGTGGGGCCTTGGGAGAGGGCCTTTCTGCCAGTGCCCTCATCGTTTAAAAGTTTATAAACTAAGATTAGTGCTGGTTGGAGTTTGTTTAGTTCTGGACAGAAGGAACTAATTTTTCAACAGTTTGATTGATGCTCATGGCCTTTTTTTTTTTTTTTTTTTTTTTAAGACACCCATAAAGAAACCAGGGGATGGAAGAAAAGTAACGTTTTTTGAACCTGGCTCTGGGGATGAAAATGGGACTAGTAAGTGTGATGTTAATATTGTCTTGATCTGACTGTGATTCTGGGCTTTGCGTGGTTCCTGGTAGTAGCAGGAACCTAGGTAATGAGTTAGTATTCAGTGCTTGGTTCTGCATTACCCCTGTGCTGTTGTGTGTGCGGGGGGGAGGGCCAGCGTGGGGTTTTACATCTCTCCACGCGGCACGCGTGGACTTGAGTTGATTTGTCTGCATGTCCCTCCCCAGGCAATAAAGAGGATGAGTTCAGGATGCCTTATCTTAGTCATCAGCAGCTGCCTGCTGGAATTCTTCCCATGGTGCCTGAGGTTGCCCAGGCCGTAGGAGTCAGTCAAGGGCATCACACCAGAGAGTTCACCAGGGTAGCTCCGAACCCTGCCAAGGCCACGGTAACTGCCATGATAGCCCGTGAATTGTTGTATGGGGGCACCTCGCCTACAGCCGAGACCATTTTAAAGAATAACATCTCTTCAGGCCACGTACCCCATGGACCTCTCACGAGACCCTCAGAGCAGTTGGACTATCTTTCCAGAGTCCAGGGATTCCAGGTAACTGTTGGGTCTGAGCTGTGTGGTCTGTACCTCAGTGCGGCCATCTCTGGTTTCTCTCAGTACTAAGTAACTTGTTTTTTAAACCAAGTTCTTTTTCTCGGGGGATGGTTGGGGGAAGCACGGTAAAGGGTGGTCCTGAGGAAGGGAGGAGGCATGGGAAGGATTAGAGCCCCGGGTGGGAAGAGAGTGTCCTCGACCTTTGGGAATTTTTAAAAATCCAGGCCAACCGTAATGACAAAGCCTCGAATCCAGTGGTAGTTACAGATGTAGACTTCAGTGAGAACAGATTCATTGTGCTGGCCCTTTTTCTACCTGCTAGGAAGGGACATGGCTTCTTCCAGACCAGGGTGTCTGAGTAGACATTTAGGTTCCTGGAAGATTCTGGAAGCTGGGGCCCTGGCATCCTGCCTGCAGCCCTCAGTGCCCCTTAGCCGCAGACCCCACTGTGAGTCTCTTGTGCCTGTTGAGCAGGAGTTGGTGTAGACAAGTCAGGCTGAGACCAGGGAGAGGTGTCATCTCTGTTCACTGGGCCCAGAGCCGCAGCCCTGTGCCGGGCTCATACTCCCCGCCTTCCTGTCCTTGCCTCAGTTTTCTTTTCCCCTTTAGGTTGAATACAAAGACTTCCCCAAAAACAACAAGAACGAATTTGTATCTCTTATCAATTGCTCCTCTCAGCCGCCCCTAATCAGCCATGGTATCGGAAAGGATGTGGAGTCCTGCCACGATATGGTACGTTACCCCCCGTGGTGGGCCTGGCTCCAGCTCGTTGCTGGCCTCAGAAAGACAGGAAAAGGATTCTCCTGCAGACTTCAAGAACAGTTGATTGTTTTATAGGTTCATATTTCTGAGGACTTTCCTTAGGTTACTGGCTTGATTTCTCATTCTGTTGATCAGAACTCATGGGCTTTGGCCAACCCCTCTCCTCTCTTCCCTTGCTGACCTGAGAGGTGGACTTGGGTCCTGGAACGTGTCCAGATACTGTATTCAGTTCATCTCTGACCAGAACAAGGAGTTGCAGGCCCAAGTTCTGGCAACTTAGAAAGCCCCTTGTTTTGGTGTTCTGTTCAGATGAAATTATTATTGTAAGCAATACTAAAATGAAGAAAAGGAATTGATTAAATTAATTGACATAAACTGTGGTGTATTCACCTGATGTAATATAATGTACCCATCCTATTAATGTCACCGAGGGTAATGTATTCTGATTTTAACACGGAAACATGATAAGGTTTTATTTTAAAGAGGGATATAAAATTTGTACAGTCTGATGACCACAGGTTAAAAATGTTAGAAGGCAATATATATAATAAAATTAACAGAGGTTGTGATTCAGTGAGGTAACCATGGAGAATATTTTTTAATTTATATTTTTAATTAAAAATTCAAACATGAAAGGGTTATTTAGTGGGACCACTTGTTTTGTTGGGCAGTAGGAGAAGCCCTCGACTTGCTCTTCAGTGTCGTATACTGTGGTCTTGAGTGGTGGCCGTGGTTTGACTTCCCTTTTCATTCCTGGTAAGCTGTTCCCTTTTCCTTCCTGCTAGGCTGCACTGAACATTTTAAAGAAAGTTGCTGAGTTGGACCAACAAAATACAGAGATGCCAAGAACAGGAAATGGACCAATGTCTGTGTGAGTGAGCTGATCTACATGGAAAGGCAGTTCTGTTCCTCATTTGCATTAAATTCAAATTGTCTGCTCAACTTAGTAGTGAAATACTTGTCTTAGTCACTTTCTGTCCCTTTGCCCTGAAAGGTTTCCAAGTTTTGCGCAGAGAGCTCTACTTCTGTTTGTTTTGTTTTTTTAATTAATTTATTTATTTTTGGCTGTGTTGGGTCTTCATTTCTGTGCGAGGGCTTTCTCTAGTCGCAGCGAGTGGGGGCCACTCTTCATTGCGGTGCGCAGGCCTCTCAGTGTCGTGGGCTCTCTTGTTGCAGAGCACAGGCTCCATATGCGCAGGCTCTCAGTAGTTGTAGCTCACGGGCCTAGCTGCTCCGCAGCATGTGGGATCTTCCCAGACTGGGGCTCGAACCCGTGTCCCCTGCATTGGCAGGCAGATTCTCAACCACTGCGGCACCAGGGAAGCCCTTTTTTTTTTTTTTTAAGCTTTCAATAGGTAATACATTCACATGGTGCAAAAGTCAAAATTATTTTAAAAGGTGTCCATAGTGATATGTCTTGCCCCTCATGCAGTCCTCATCCATACCATTCTCTTCACCCCACCCAGAGATCACACACATTTGTATTAGTTTCTTGTGTACCTTTCCTGTATGTTGCTTTATGCAGATACATTTCTTTCCTTATTTTCTTCCTTTTCCTCCTAGAGATAACATACTACATACCCATTCTCTTTCTTTGCTGTTTTCACTTGATGGTGTATTCTGGGAAGACCTTAATCCAGTTATCATAAACTGGGGCCTGAACTGTTGGACTTCTCGATGTCTACTAGTTTCATTTTTAACATGGCTTAATTGTCTTAAATTCCAAAACTTGGGTCATTTTTGTTTTTTTTTCTTCCTTAAAGGTGTGGGAGGTGCTGAACCTTATCTGGCCATGAACCATTGAAAAATCCCAACATACACACTGAAAATACTGAAACTGCTTTGAAAATTTGGAACTTCTGATACCTCCAGTGGGCCGAGAGACACGATGGGTAAAGGACTGGAGACAGCAGTGGTGAAGAAGGCGGGGCCCCGAGGAGGCAGCGGCATGGCCGCTCGCCTGTGCTATGGTTTCTCCTCACGCAGCAGCAGCTGCTGGGGGCCGGGCGGGCCTGCCGGGCACCCTGGCGCCACTGGGAAACCAGCGGGTCCGCGCCCCAGGTACCCTAGCGCTTGGTTGGTGGGGGGGGGGGGGGGGGGGGGGGTCCTTGCTGTAGACGGGCTGGGTTTGAATATTTTTTTTTTTTTTTTTCTTGCTGTGTGAAAGAAGAAACAGAAAGCACGACCCCTTCTCAAACTGGCTCACTCAGACACTTTGGGACAAACCCTGGACACCACGCTGGAGAGAGGCCTTAGTCTGGCCCCAGAGCTGAAAGCACCAGAGAAAATCACATGCTTCCTGCTCAGCCTGAGCTGACCTTCTCGGCGTGCTCTGGCCCACACCTACTGCGGTACCCACACCGTCACCACTGCTCTCTTCCAAAAGAGATACGTATTCTTAGTTTCATTATTTTCTTTTGATTGAAATGACACTATATAAAATTTTCATTTGAGAGTTTCTCAGTTGTATTTACTTACATAGCACAGTTTAGAAACTTGTCTGAGACTGACCTTATCAGTAATCTAACCGGCAAAGATCATATCCGTGTGTATGTGGTTATACATTTTTATTTCATTGGACTAACCCAGGACCATTTCAGTGATGAAAATTGTGTTCCCTCTGGTTTAGCTGAAACAGTCCTGCACTTCTCAGAAACCTTGAAGTCTCCCATAGTTGTATAAATTGGACAATTTAGGAATTTTAAACTTTAAACGATCATTTGGTTCCTTTTCTATTTTATTTTTGTTAATGCAACAGGACTTAAACAAATGAACTTTGATCTTTGTTTTAAAGATTATTAAAAAATTGTGTGTGTATATATATAAATATATGTGTGTGTGTATATATATATATATACATATATATATATATATATATATATATATATATATGATGACTCTTGAAGACACATAGCTTTCACTACACTACAGGATATGATCTCCATGTAGCACATCTACAACTGCAGATTGATTTTCCTTGAGTGCTTTATACTGTTGATTACATCTCCATGTAGGGCTGAAAATGACCCATGTTTATCTCTATAACTGTGTTGCTTTTGATGTCGTGTTGCTGTGCACAGAAATGTGTGCAGCGAGGTCCTGCATATGGTCCAGATGAAAAGCACGGTAGCCTTGCGAGTTAAGTACTGCTTCGATTCATTGTTTACGCTGGAATTTTTTCTCCCCATGGAATGTAAGTAAAACTTAGTGTTTGTCACCAATAAATAGTAATACTAAATTTTTTTTTGTTAATTTATTCTTAAATGCCACTACTGCTAGGTTGGTCCCTCCCAACCTGCCCCCTATCCTTTTTTTATTTTTAAGAAAAAAACTTTGTAATGCTTGTGATTCCATTTGGGCAAAATTCTGAAGCTCTGAAATAACTTTATATCAAACCATTGATCAATAAACAGCTACTAATGAATTTTTGGTCCTGTCGAGCAGTAACTGAAGCAGTAAGGGAAGATGTGAGGGCATGGAAGCATGGCGTGGGGGGCACTGCTGCCAGTGAGGGGCGAGTGGGTGCCCGGGAGAAGGGAGGAGCCTCTCATCTGAACCAGACATTGTCACCCAAAGAAACGACCGAGAAGAGGAGAGAGGCTTCCTGGTCACTTCCCTCAGGAGGGCTCGCGCTTGGAGAAGGTGAAGCGTTGCATGCTAGTCTGGCTGAGGAGTGGGGCTGGTGGTTTTCTATTTTTTAATTTTAGAATATGCTCATAAAGGTGGTTCACTATAAAACCAGCCTGTGGATTGGACTGCAAGAAGCACCGAAAGTGAGCAGGTTATGGAAAAATGCTACAGGGTAGATGGGGACTCAGCAGGGCAGGGATAAAAGCAGTGAAAGGAAAAGGCATTTTTTCCCTTTCCAATCCTGGATTCAGCATTTCTGCAAGAAGCCTTGATCCTCTTTAGTGATAGATGACATTTAGAAACCAAGGTCTGGGTGCTCTGAGACCTTATTGCTAGGGGTGTGTTGTGTCTGGGCCCTCTTAGTGGACAGCTAGGAAGTGTATCTGTGTGTATGTATACACACACATCTGCCGATTTGTATATCTATTTAAAAGCCATGCGTTGGTCCTGATACCTCTGGCACCTCAGGGTTCTTCACAGCCTTCCCTGCTGTGTTTTTAGCACGTTTTCCAGCATAGAGATTGTAGCCAATGTCCCAGCCTTGCCAGCCACTCCCTCCACTCCTGCCCTGAGATCTTGCTGCCTCTGCCCAGCTCTCGCCTCCTTGCCTCACAGTGTGTCCAACTGGCGACTCTCCACACTGTGAAGGGAAGATGGAAAGGGCTGGACAGTACAGTCTTAGAAGTAATTCATGACTTCTAATTGGCAGTCCAGTTGGCCCTCATTGACAGCACTCCAAGGAGGGGAAGTTTCCTCTTAATATCTGGGGTATTGTTAGGAAGGATCTACAGGTTTCTTTGAAGGTGATGTATTTTGGTTGCTTTGGAAAGCTGTCCAGATGGGATGTCCTTGACTATTCTTACATTGTAAACTCTCAAACTAGTCTTGCCTCTGTGAAGGCCCTGTAGCTGTCATCGCCTGCTGAGGACTCACTCACCTGCAGTATCTCTGTCTCAACAGGCTTTGAGAGAGCTGCCTGGGAATCGAGTTTGCACCAAGTTTTATCCCAACATGATCTCTAAGAGTTGCAAGAACTTTGGCTCAAAACTAGCCCTTGGGACAACATGCAGCCCTGGTTCCCAGACTACAGGCAGAAAAGCAGACATGAAGGCACCTGAGAGGCAGGTCTGAAAAAATCAGAGCTGCGAGTCAGCCACAGTAAGACTAGTGGGTCTTAGGATTTGAGAAGCATCGATCTGCAAAGGTGGGGCAGCTCCTGTTGTCTTTGGGGAAGACAGACTTAGGATTCAGTCACCCCACAACAGGTGCACTGACATTAGGTCAATTTCGTTAAGTTCCTCTTATCACAGGGAGATATTAATGAGTAAGGATGATTTCCCCATAGCAGGGTTTTGTTCTGGTTTGTATTTTTAAAGGCCTTCTTGAACTGAGCAATGTGAACTGTAGCTCTTAAAAAAGTGTCATTTCTGAATCTAGGTTTTGTTCCATAGCTCACTGAGCTCATGTGCACGGCTTTGCAGGGTGAATGCCCAGTGACGGAGACCTTGGCCTGGGTCGCAAGGTCTGTTAGAGTCTGGGGTTCTTGTGACCCACGGTAAAAGACACCCGGCCATTCCCAAGAAGCAGTATGCTGCTGCTTGCTCTCCAGGAGCTCACAGGAGCTCAGTAGAATACAACCACCGGGAAATAAACCTGAGGATGGAGATGTGTAGCTGTTTGTATGAAACTTAACTTCAGAAACTTCTGACATTATCATCTCTGGTTTAAGTGCTGAAACATCTGTGTGCCCTTAAAAACAGACAAGAAAAACTTTCTAAATCCATAAATAATGGATTGTTGAGCACTTAAGCACTGCTGGATTGGCAGGGAGGAGTTAACCAATTTTCTGAAATAGGCTTTTAAAGAGATGTGTGTTAAGATGCAAGGCTAACTGAGACTGGAGGGGGTGTCGTTTCTAGTCATCAAAGCAGCAGAGCTGTTTTCTTGGTATTTGGCACTGTGTGCTTGCAGTGGTGTGTTTAATGTATATATACAATGTATATATAGACTATACATATGAAACTGTAATTTTTACAACTCCATACTCTAATCAGACTTCTTGGCATGCCAATTTTTATTAGGAAAAATTATACGTAATTTGGGAAATTGGTACTGCTTTGCTTAATATGTGCTTAATAACTTGTTTGATATTTTAAAAGTAATTTCCTTTGTACATTCTTTTACAAATATTTTCATCAAAACCTACTTTGGAAGTAGGCCTGCGATGACAAATTGTAAAGCAGTCTTTGTGTAGTGGTAATTTTAAAAAGGACCTTTGAGAGTAAACTGTGAAAAATTTGTAAGTTATCCCTGAAAGCCCTCTATCCAAACACAAATCCTATCGGTTATTTCCACCCCCTTTCACACGCACTTCTTTCATGATTGTGTCTGCAGTGCACATGCAGTGGTGCCACCCATTGTAAAGCTGAACAACCTGGAGCTCGGTGGTCCCAGAGGATCAGGTATGCCCATCCCCCGCTGCCCTCCTGCAGAGCCAGCTGGACCCAGCCTTCAGCTCACTGTGGCTGTCCTCACTTCTTTAGGCTGCAGTAGAAGCAGTGACACGGGTGTCTCTCGCTGACCTTTGACATTGCTGAGCCTGGATTCAGTAGTGGGCAGTTGGTGCCACTTTGGAGTGAGATCTAACAGAATCCTGTGTCACTTCCTCAGACTGTTCTTGCCTGCCTTTTTAATTGTGTATTGGCTCCAGCTGCCAAAAGCCTTCCCCAGGAAATGGCCTGAAACTCCCTTGGGCCTGTGTTTTACTGTGTAAATATCGCTGCCTCCCCACAGGTCTGTCTGCCTGGTGTCTCTGTCCTGTATGCTGAACATATGCTCACCTGGTAGATTCAGGACGCATATCTGAAAATGCTCCTCTGGACCCCTAATAGCTACTTTCCTCTCTGATTGGCTCCTTGGGTTCATGGACAAGAACAATGTAAACCAGGTTGAATCCAGCTAAGAAAACTTCAAATGCTCAGACCTTCCCTAGCCCAGGGACCATGATTTTTGGACATGTCGTATGGCTGTGTTTGGGGAGTTACGGCCTAGAGTGTTTGTTGGCAACCAGTGTGTCCTCTGAATCCCCAAAGCCTGAGCGGCCCCAGACCTGGCCCGACTCTTTCTGAGGTGGTTTGACCACCTTTGTCATTGCTCCCCTTGGCCAGGTAACATTTTCCCAAGGCTCTGAGCGAGGAGCAGCCTGGTGGATGGTGGATTGGGTGTGGATAAGGCTTCCGTGCTGTGAAGAGCGCCTGTAAATAGATCACCTCACAAAGGGCCAAGCTGCTGTAATGTAGGTGGGTGAATACCAACATGTAAGTAGCGGCTCAGAGAC